GAGGAGCAGGAAGGCTGACGTTTCGGGCCTAGACCCTTCTTCAGAAAGAAGAAGAAGCTTTTCCTGCTCCTCTGATGCTGCTTGGCCTGCTGTGTTCATCCAGCTCCACACCTTGTTATCTCAGATTCTCCAGCATCTGCAGTTCCTACTAACTCTGAAACAGTGATCATGATGCATGATTGATATGTGCCCATTGAGTAGAATGCAGACAGTACATCAACTTCATGCTACTGCTTAATTACTATAATTTCTGAATGTAATCTGGATTTTCCACATTGCTTCTAGTAAACACCAACAGCGGGCAGGGTGTTGTTACCAATTTGCACTTCTCAGAGGCACACTATGCTAAAAGCTAGGCTGCTTCTTTTATAAAGGAGGTGCATTGTGGCTGCAGCTGGTATTGAAAGTTGCTTTGCAATGGAATTTGACCGAGGAAATGGAGAATAATAGTTCACGATGGGAAGCCATGAGTCCCCAAGCTTTCAGATGCTGTCCCCGAAATTTTCATGGATGAAGTGAAAAGGACGATAGAAGTTTATTATTAGGAAATAGGGGGCTTCCAAACACATGACGAGAAGGTAAGGAAATGATAGATGTAGATGTGCAATGCTTTAGGTAAAGTCCCAAGAACCCATAAGTATTGGTATCAGATCAGTGTGCAGTGCTGATTGATGTCATTATTTGTTTAATCTGTATAATTCTGGTGGACATGAGGTGTGCATGAGCTACTTCTTTATTAATATGGTGTCTGGTGCACTTCTTGTCTTAAGTGCTCACGTGATCTGTAGACACCACTTTCAGGTTTATAGGCCCCCATAGTGTCAAAAATACGGATGCTATAGAGGGCTATGTCACACTCCTTCCTGATCATTTTCTTGCATTTTTTCTGAAAGCTGGCAGAAATGCGATAGCTTGCATTATTTGATGACGCTTAATTAGTTTTGCTGTCTTTTCAGGGTTTTCATCAACTATATGTTAAAATTATGGCAATGAGTTGGAAGAAGCCCTTTGGAGATTTCAAACGAAGTTATTTTCACTTAATATTATTACAAAAGTTAAATTGGCAGAGACCACTTCATTTAGATAACATCTGGAGCACAGAACAATTCATATGGTGGAAATATCCTCATTAGTGATCATTTATAAAACAGGTTCATTCATTACTGGTAAATAATCATATAAATATAATCTTTGTTTCTGTTGTAAGAACTGTGTATTTTTATTTTTATGTTTTAAAACACCTGGAAATTGAAATGAAAAAGAACTGCTTTTTACAAAAAAAAGGATTTACCAAGATAGCTGCATAATTTCACAGCAATTACCTGTTGTGATCTCTGTTTTTGCGGCTATGGGTTGCTGCAATTTGAAGACAATCAAGAGGAAAGGAATTGCTTACAAGCAAAGCTGATTGGTTCTCAGCTAATTGAGCAGATTGGAACTGGAAACAAGTTACCAAGACACAGACCCACAGAAAGAGGAAGACACAGAAGCAAGTGTTGTACTCCCCAGCAGAAACTGCCTGTTCTCTGCAGTAAACTAAATCTCAGTTAAAACTTGAAGAAGAGACAACAAGGTGCAGGGCTGGATGAACACAGCAGGCCAAGCAGCATCATAGGAGCAGAGAGGCTGACGTTTCGGGCCTAG